TCAAAAATAATTGTCAGTTTGAAAAGCGCCTCGCGGTTATGCGTAGCGTACAGCGTGAGAAAAAGATTCATGTGTAGAACACGGAATGATTGAATTTAATTAGACGAGGCTCTGCGATTAATTTTATACAGTTAATAGCTAGAGCTCGGTGAAATGAATTTACAAGGTAAGTGGTACAATGAACGACAAATTAGTATACATTTCCCGGCAGTGTGATGACATTTTTTCACACTCTGTCAAGTGCTAGCAAATAAACCTTCAATATTTGTGTTTTTGTAATAATAAACATAGTTGAAGGAAATTTTATTTTCAGTTTGTTTATTTAATGCCATTGTTAGTGGCGTCCACTGTCTAGGAAACGTTTCTCTGTGTATTCATTCGTAACTATCTTTCAACGGTGCAAATTAAATAACGATAATAACAATATTCTGGTGCAAACACAAGTGAAAACATAATATATAGTAATTATATCATTTCTTTTTTAATTTATCTACATAACTTCATTTTCGTATAGACGTTTATACGAAGTTACGAAAAATGTACGAATTTCATAATTTTATAATTACACAGAATATGGACAGAATGGGCATACTAATTCGTCGAACATTGAGCTCTAATTCACAAAGAGATATCACATGTTCATTGTAGTACACGTTGAACCATTACCTCTGAATAATACTGTGTTAAGTTCAAGAGAGTACGTATCTACATATAATGTGTGCGAATTAAACAGAGGCAGCACTTTATTTCGAACATTTGCAATACCATTTGAAATTCATCCTCAATAATTGTCTAGATCCTGACTTTCTTATGAATCGAATATTTACAACGATTACATTATTTAGCGACTCAAGTCATAAATGTTACATGAATACTATGTACAATCGTTTTTGACGCCGATTATGTTTACAGTGTTTCACTCCGTTTCTGTGTCGTTGTATGTAATCGTCGGACCACGGATCTTCGTATGAAACATTGATTTTCGAAGTCCATTGTAAGAGACAAAAAAGCTCGATGAAAATGCACTTCTTCTTTTAACAATATCTCAATCAGTCGAAAATGGTACAATGCATTCTTAAGCCGATGTTTTGTATTCGATTCAGTCATTCGTTTTCGCGGTAAATGCATAAAACCCGCAGTCTAACCGTTGTAGTCCTAAAATAGCATTGGCAGTAGTGTTGGTGCTAATCATTCGATACTGATTTCTTTAAACGATCTTACAAGAAACATGTTGCAGTACGATTATTAAATTGTCTAACAGATTCATTTCATCGTACAGAAATTTAATGAAAATAAGAAAAGTGAAAAGTTATAGAGGACGAAATTGTGCGATGACTGCTAGGAGATGATTAGCACCAACGTCGGTCTTTTTTGATCATCTGGGCCAATATGCAATCATGCGCATAGAAGAAGCGGAGTTTATGTCATGGGCTTTATATGTTATCATTCTGTAGAATTCGTGCAACCTGACGCGTCGATCGTCAGTAGAAAATTGTTGCCAAAGAAATGAACAGTTTCAACATATTCCGCGAAAATAGCCGTTCGATATGATCTCTTATAAAACGTTTTTTTTAATGATGGCGAGTAACACTCCGACAACGGGGTCCAAATGGACCCCGAGTGCAAATACCGTTACTAGATGATACAATGAATTTCATTTTTCACACGTTTCATTAAGGAGTGCTTGGAGAAGACTGCTACAAGAAATTGATAAATAAAATGATAAATGATCTTAAGCATATAGTTACAGTGTTATCGAAAAGGTCCGTTGTTCTAGTATTAACACATTGACCGGCAAGCAATCTTAACACGTTAAAGTCGTTTAATTAATGAAACCGAAACTAGAAAGCTGAAATGTACCATAGTAAACATTACTTTAACTCTTTCATGTTCTAGAAATCCTAGTAACATTCAGCTCGAGTATATCGCAATAAAAATGAATTTCAAAATCTAGTTCAAAATCAGCGTCACTCGTGTGTTACCAATGTGACGCGCGACTTGTCAATTTATCTTCCTGGAGATTATCTTTCACAAAGGTGGAACCACCGTCTCGAACCTTGCATTAATGCATTTGAAGAATTTAAAAAAATGAATCATACGCGCCGTTGCTACAGTTGCTGAAAGTGAACTTACTGCATCGATACCATTACGAGAATAAGAGTGAACGTATTCACCCGAAGACTGTTAAAGTGCAAAAACGGAGCTATAAGAATATCTCAATCAATCGGGTCAAGGCATGTACGAATGTACGCAACGGTTCCTTTTCTTCCTAAATTGCTAAAACTACCTATCTCTTTTTCGGTAATGGGCATTTCGTTCGACTTTCACAGTGCAGTTAACGATGCAAAGTTGCTATTCTCGTAAGTACGATAAGATTAAACTCGGTAATGAGATTTCGACGTGGTTACGAACGTTGATTCTGATCTGTTTTTTTTTCTCCGATTGTTCATATGCAACTGCAGAACTGGTCGCACCTGTTAATCAATAATTGAGATCGCCGAGCCGACTTTCAAGGCGACGGTTAATTGATTCGAGGCAAGTTAATCCTCGGAGTTATGCAATTTCATTTTAACTATCTGCGACGAACATTAAATTACTTTGTAACATTTTGAAAAATCTGATTTTCGTAGGAAGCTTCTGTTGTTTGAGAACAGTAATTTGTTGTGTAACTGGCGTAATAAAAATGCTAATTTTTAACATTTCTTTTACACAAATATTTTGTTCAAAATCGGATCATCCTTCTATTGTAAACGCAATCTCTTAATCGATTTGATTCGATTTTGCATACTTTCGAACTTCAAGGGCGTGTATGAAATTATTTTGGATCTTTGCTTTCGTTACATAAAAGAACCATTTCCGGGAATACACATATAAACTTATCTTGTTATAAACTCCGCCGTATATTTGTCGTTAACGTAGAAATCGGCGGACAGTTAATATCATGGTTACACAAGAAATATTGGCTGTATGATTAATTTGAAAGTTTCGTGGATAAAAAACACGGATATGTTACGAAGACAACGACGTGTAACGCATGATAGAAAAAGGTGGAATGTCCATTACTGTGATCAAGTTATAGTTATCGCACTGTTTTGTCACCGAATGCTACGGATTTTTATGCGCGCCGATCGACATCTAGTGTTGGGAATTTTCATCGGATTCATTTCCTTTGGAAATTTTGAGATTAAGTCATACGGTCTATGTATAAACCTCTCTTATGTAACGGAAACACCGGTAAGGTAAATTCCTTGTATGAAGTTATGTAATTCTGCTTTTAACACGAGTTAAAAGCAAAATACTTCGTTCGATGTAAATCCTCTGAAATCATTCAGCGATTTGTTCAAAATTAATTTGTCCAGATTACTTCGATCTTCTTGATCCGATAAGTTGATCGCCCATGCTTTACAAATATATGCGATTTACTCGAAATACATATTTGTTGCAAAATTCCGGCATAGTTTTGATCGGTAACGGTTTTGATTTTGTGGAAGATTTATGATTAATCTAGTTTTGATTTGAATATTAATTGAAATGATTATAAATAATACGTGACTTCAGGCGTTGTGAAAGAAATGCCTTCATATAGTTGAAAAACGTAGTGTTTAGTTTATTATTAAGTAGATTAATTTATTCGTCGGTCTCTGTACTCTAAGATTCGAACGGATTTTGACTTCACCAGAGTATGTGATTTTATTGTTTTAAGTTACAAATGGCAAGAATGATAAAGTTCATTTTGAATTCATCTATAAAATTTCATTCATCCAAGTTGGCGTGAGCCAAATTATTTATTAATTCAGATTTCCTCTGTTTTAAAGCTGCCTCTAAGAATTGTTCGATAACAGTGATATTCATTTTTTAACTTTTCTCCGTTATAGTGTTGCAATGTATTGCGAAACACAATACTCGTCAACACATCGACTGCCATGCGCGAGTGACACTATTGTTTAAACATATTTCTATTTATCGTAGATGTATAAAATCCACCGTTCAATTATTACAAAATGTGCTGGAATAAAAAGTTTAGTCAATCATTTTCCATAAAAATGTCTCTCTATATAACTTCCATAATCCTAAATAAAAAAAATTTAGCCTGTAACGGTAGGTTTAGTGTTAATTGATATTTAGTAATCAATTGAATATAGCTGTCACCGTGTTGAAGCGAAGATGAATTCGATAGTGTCGGTATCAGTGTCAGACGCAGGTGAAAATTTGGAAAATTTCGTTTTCGATTACTGTGCACAGTAACTAGATGCAGGTTTCGTCATAATAACCAAATACGGGGTTCGCACCAGGGACCATAACTGCTACAACCAATATTTATAAAATTGAACAGGTTTAATCGTGTGTCTTGTTGAACAGTTTCTCTTACATACGCTATTAATAGCTTCAAATTGAATAATGAACATAATTTTGTTACCGATCGTTTCGCGACAATTTTTTAAATAACTGCGACTTCGGGCCCCTGGTTCGCACACTATCGAAACGCAGTGATCGCGATAGGTATGCGGAACCGCAGTTGAGAAGCACTGTGATTCATCGAAACTCGGTTTCCAGACTGTTGAAAACCCGCTAGACCGTGAAGAAAGAATGGGAATAGAGCAGAGAATAAGTCCGAAGGGGCGCCTGTGCAACGACGATGCGACTTGCACTTGTAACATCGGTTGCGGAGATGCAGGCGTCATCGCGGTTTCAGCTACTGCGTCGCATCTATCTGTCACGCTACAAAAAACGTTGCGCGTTTCAAGTGCATTCTTCATTCTAACTGCTATGGACGGATGTATACGCGTCGATCGTTTCGCTGGGGATCGGGTTGCGCGCTGTAATCGGGATCGAATCATTTATCACCATTTCCCAAAAGATCAACGCTCTCGCATCGAATTGGTATCTTTAAGAGTAAAGAAGTCAGTAAAATTGGCTAATAGTTG